TAAAAATAGGATTTCCTGCAGATTTCTTTGCAGATTGTCTTTATTTTCACACCTCTTCCATTTGCAGCTTTGCCAATCAAACCAACAAATTCCCCAGATTTTGCTTAAAATTTCAAATTTTTCTTCACATGCACTGCTCACCGTTCCTGACTACGGCTGAACTTGTGAGTCGTCCATCCCCCAAGACCAAAACCCCCTTTCTCCTTTGCCTTCCCTCCCTCTCATGCACTCTCACAGTAAAACCTTAAATCACTGGATCTGAGCTTGTTGATTCCACCCTGACCCAGATACGCGGGTCATTTCTTGCCCAAATCCTTTTAAAATGAGAGTCTCCTCACTATTATTTCCCCCCTCAGTGTTTGTGGCCACAATCTCCCTTCATGGTTTAATCATGCCCACAGTGCAATCCGGAAAAATAGACCTTCAGTCTTGAACACTTAGGGAAAGTGCATAGGCGTAGCCGTTTGAAAGAGAAAAGGTTTCAGTGGAGGATGTGATGCTGACTGGTAGCAACCTTACCTTGACACTTTAAGCACTAGATGGCTTTAAAACCAAACTGTAAAGTTTCTGCTCTGAAAAGTCATCAGAAAAAAAAACACAACTATGTGCAGCTCTAGCTAGGCCTCCTGTTTTTTTTAATCTAAATTTATTAAAGAAATAATACTTTTCAGCAATATGTTTGTGGTCCGACGTACTATGAAGTTTAATGAAAAATGCATTAAAATCTGGTTGATTTATGATGAGTACTTCGTATTTTACCCTCCATTTTTTAGAAGCTTTTTATTTATTTTGAAAATGCATTTTATAGATGAACGTTTTACTGTGGGTTCATATTTTAAAATACATTAAACTCAACCTCAAGCTGAAAAACTGAATTTATACAATTTTTGCATTGGGTTTGGAGGGTTACACAGCTCCTCTTTTGGACAAACTAGATACCTTAAAGCAAGTAATTAATCATGGTAACCGACTTACAATGCAAAAAAAATTCTTCCGAAATGAAACAACACAAAAATTGATGGCATCAGAGGATCCTGACCGTCGGACTCAAAAGATGACTCTTGGTTTGTAAAATATAAATTAGTTAGACTGAATCCTGTAAAACGTCTGCATGTAGTTCTTCCCTGATAATTAGCTGTTTGTAGAACGCTGCATAGGCGATTGGTTGTTTAATATTCAGAAGCACAGCAACACTTTATGCTGTACTAGTGTGGTGTGGAGTGTATGCACAACTCCCCCAGAGACGGTTTAGCAGAGCTTCTCTATCTGCCCTCCAGCTAAAATGATTGAGCATTCTACGGCTAAGATTGCCCTGCAAGGATGATGGATTTAACGTGCACTGATGGGCTGTGCACTTACAGTTGCGTGTAAGTGTACACACAGCAGCAAGTGTAAGATGTTTATTTCTTGCAGAAATAAACACCTGGCAACAATGAGCACCCATCTTGAGAGAAGCTCTAAAAAATAAAAGAAGCTGAGCAGAGATACACCAACATATCCTGAACCTCAATGTTTTCCACATGGCACAACATGGACTGTATGAGGCCTTAAACCCATTTATTCAAATTTGGGGGAAGTTTGGGAGAATGTGGCCAATTTATTATTTTGTTCCTTTATGGAGAAAATATTTTTCAGACTTTTCAGATTGTTCTAGTTACAATATTTTAACTCAAAGTTAAGCACTTACTTAAAATGTCTAATTATTACTAATCAATGGGTTAATATATATATATATATAAAAAAACAGTACTTTACTATATTTAATAACAATATCTTATAAATATCAATCTTTTTGTTAAGTTGTGTTCAACAAAATCTCCATGGGAAAAAACACATTTATTTTGTTTATTAAAATACAATTTCTCAAATTTATTTCACAAAATTAGCTTTTTTCATTCACGGATTTACTAAAACTGTATTACTTTACCTACATTTGCTCTAGTCTGTTTTACAATAGTTTTATTTGATTCCCTTCTGAGTTTTTTTCAGATCTACTTTTCAGTTAAAACATCTGAAATGTCAGTTAAAAACATTTCAATGTTGAGCAGGTTTGGAACATTTCTGCAGAGCTCTGCGGAGGAAACAACTGTTTGATATGTCTGTAATGGGGAAGGAGAGCACGTAGGAGAGAGCTTTTTGTCAGCAGCATGACATCCATGGTACCAAACAGGGATGCAGTTCATTCAATGCTCTTGACAATAGCTCTGGGAAAGGTCACAAGCAGCTCATCACTAAGGTCCGTCACTTGCTCCACACGCTGTCTAGGTTCAATGTTCGTGGGAAATTTCAACGTTTCGTGAAATGTATCAATGTTTTAATTTTTGAGGAGTTCAACAAGAGGTTATTCACTGAACTCCCAGTCAGACTGAGCACATCGCTTCTGTAGGCAGTCAAAATGAATCCCACTTCAGGGTTTTCATCTGAAAACTTTATAACAAGATTTCCTGGGAATGCTAGAATCAAAATGCAAGAGTATAATGAGCAAATGAGGGGGTTGAGTATACCTAGCCCTGTGGGATACTGATATTGAAGCACTTTACCTATAACTCATTAAAACTAGTTTTTTTGTATCTGGCTGTAAGGTGGTGTTTATTCCCCAATTCATACCTGAGTTTTCTTTGTACTCCTGCTTCTTTCCACAGTCTAAAAACGTACATACGATGATCTGTGGCTTGAAATGTGATCATTTTTGGTTGTTTTACTCTGTTTTTTTGTTGTTGTTCTGTGATAGTTTGGTGATCTGTGCAGGATGTACCTCACCAAGCACATGCAGGTATACTGTACATGAGTAATAAAGGGAAAGAAGTTAAATAAAAATGGAAGAATGGGAATAAATTAGAAGAGGAATAGGGAATAACTCCTGGAAGTACTGATATTTTCTTGTCACCTTTATTTCTTTTACCATACTTATCCTAATCTTAATATCAACTTAATATCATGAGATGCACTCCTCATCCGTCTTTGATATGTTTTTCTTAAAAAGGAAAGAATAAATGCATTTTAAGTTTAGAATCAAACTCATCCAAACTTTTAATTTTAAACCAAGGACCTGAAGATTTAACGGAGGAAGAAACGCTCTGCTTCCTGTCATCCCAGAGGAGAGAGACCTTTCAGAGCACTGGATTCACATCAATGTTTGAATATTCCCTAAATTACTCAGCAAATCGGCTCTGGCGGTGCTCATGTGTATGAATGAGAGGCTGTTTGCATTTCATGCAATCTCTGTGAGATGTGGGTGACTGAAGCGGTGACTGTGGGGAAGTGGGTGGGTGGCAGCAGCATTAATTACTTATAGACCTCCTGAAAGTGTTTGTGTGTATGCTAATTGCCTGCATGTGCAGAGCAGCACAAGTATGTTCTCTCACATGTGTCAATCGGATAAATCTTTAAAAATCAGTCCAGGGGGGTCGATATCAGCATAAGGCTGGGCTTCTCAAATTAGCTCAGATTACTCCCTGCTATTACCAATGCTGTGCTAATCGAAGGCAATTTGCATTTTGGCTGATGAGCAATTTTAAAAGCGTCGCCCTGATGTTGATGGAAGGGAGGCCAAAAGGAGCTGGGGAGAAGCAGCTGTGGGTGCACTATTAAAAATGGAGGCATGTGATGTTGCATGACGAATGAGATGGATAAAAGCTGACTTAAGAGCAAAGGGAGGAGAGAGGTGAGGACTGTTGTCGCTGTGGGAGCAGTTTTGGTACAGTTGTTTCCCTATAGGACCAACAAATTTCAGAAATGGGGCCTGCAGTAAACTTTGTGGCCTCGTGTGGCTTTCATTGCAAAACAGACAAAAATTATGAAATAAGAAAAGAGAGGGAGGGGGGAGAAAGTTCAGGGAAAAGAAGAAATTAGCTTAAAAAAAAAAGGGAAACATGCAAATAAATCCCTGGGGTGAGTTTATGGCAGTGGCATCTCTCTCACAGTGGCAGGGGGGTTAAAGAGGGTGCTCAGATCTGTGCAGCTCTGAAAAATCTCCAATTTGCTCAGGAATTTATAACTGATGCAGGACAGTGTTTGAGCAAATCTACCAGTTATTTGATGCTCTGATCAATGCTGTCCACCTAAAGAGATTGGTAAATCAAGGACAGTATTAATCAGAGAGGCAGCCATGGCACGTATTTTAACTCTGGAGGAGCTTAAGAAATCCACAACTCGGGTGTTGCACAAAATTAATTTAGTAGTAAAAATTTGTAAAGTTGTAAAAATCATAGTGATATTGGAACCAAGTTGAGAGAGATAAATACAGGCAATTCAAAGCAAAACTCTGTTACAGGGTGAAGAAGAAAAGAGGTGGGGTGGAGATCCACCTTGCAGCAGGGGGATCATCATTAAAACACAGCCAGAGATATAAAGGAAAGAATGGTCTAGTCAAAGTTCAGACCTAATTTTAATTCTGAATTTGAGGTTTTAAATTACTGTTATGTCCCACGGCATGTAGTCTTACTTAGTTTGTGCAAATTTTTAAGTTCGTTTTGCAAATGTGGTACATTCCAAAAACTGTTAACTAATTTTAGAGCAAAAGGGGGGCTGGCTATGAATTTATGTCACACATTTTGAAAATTTAAATACAAAAAAAATCCTTGCTTACACTTTATTTATTCCAAATCCTGCAACAGCAAGGAAATTGCACATGCCCTATCCTCTAATCCAGTTGTTATAAGACACAGAACAGTGTGGAGTTGTCCAAATACAGCGCTACAGTATTTGACACAGGCTGAAGTAGGTGTTTTGCTCTGCAACACTTGAGAGGTTAAGCGTCTGGATTTACCGATACATTAACTGCTGAGATTGATCCTCCATTGCAGGGACGACAGCCTAAATGATCCCATCAATTTTTTGCCACAGCAGAGCTTGCTGGCCCCGACTGAATCAATTCAGTAACCTTTTCTGAAATCAAAAGGCGTTGAAAGTTGTGCGCGGCAGCAGCTCGAGAGGTTTTTTTCTTTGTAAAAGAATGACCGGTGTGTTTGCCTGTGTTTCCTGCACACTTTCCCACTCACCAGCTCAATGAGCTCCTGGTAGCACACCTGTCCCTCCTCATTGCTGTGGACGAGTGCTAACAGCATGTCCAATTTGGACGGGTCAAGCTGCAGTTCATGGTGCTCCACCAAGCTGGTGAAGTTCTCCACTGGGATGAAACCGGTGTTCTCTGGGTCCAACTGCAGAGAAAATATGTATAATTTAGCTACTGCAGCATTAAAACTTAGTCATGCTTGATATTGTCTCTTCTTTCTTTAACAAAAAGCTCTAGACAGTTTATTACAGGCTCCCCTTAGAAGGCGATTAGTAAAAGACACCTGAGACGTCTAACAGAATAGGAGCTGTGACATGAGTATTAATTACTGTGGGATAAATTCATGTTTCCCAAGAAATAAAGAAACAGAAGATCAGTCAGGCTGGGTGCTTGATGTTGAAAGGGGTAAAATCATAAAGACAGGTGTGTACTAACACAGCAACCTGCAGTTTTCCCAGAGAACCCCCCCCCCACGGATCAAACGAGAAGGTCTTTGTTTCTGATATGACGCATCATGTGCCTGCTTGGTTTCAGCTGCAGCTCGTTTTTCACTGAGGACCCCAAACACACGAGCTGTTCCTGCTGACTCCTTGTTATTGATCTGAGAAGCAGAGCGTCATAAAAATGATTGAGAGCTGCTCTCTAAATCAGAACTACTAGGTTAGAGAAATGGTCTCTTGTGCATGAAGAGAGATGCATTAATTAATCAGCTGGTTGAAAAAAAATATTACCTTGATTGGCTCAATCTGAGGATCAGCAGGTTAAATATTAGAAAACAGAATGAAAGAAAAAGCATTAAAACATTTTATGCATTCATAAATGCAAAAAAAGGCTGAGATTTTTCGCAAAAATAAATTTTCCTTCGTTTTATGTTGAATTCAGATTTAAGGTTAAGTCCTCAGAGACCCAGCATGTCCGGAACGAGGCAGCTGGAGCCAGTATGGAAGGTGCGGCACACAGTGGGCAGGTTTAAAATGTTTAATAGCACAAAAAAAACAACAACAACAAAAAAACAGAACATTTTCTAAAATTTCTACTAGACAGAAAAACTGATCCTGGATTTCCATCACAGAAGTCAACATTGTTTTTTTATTATATAAAAAAGCAGATTTTATGTGTAACATTGTTTCAAACTTACACCCATCAGTTTTTCATCCCCTCCGACCTAAACGGCTCTAAGCTCAAGAACCAAATCTGATCCTAAAATTGACCAGCTTCAGTTTTGCAAAGTTTATCTATAATAAAGTGCCTACCAGCATGTTACATAACATGCACACACTTTAAGAGAGACAGTACATGCAAAAGCTATTGACATCTCAAAATTGTGATGAAAAGTTGATGAATGAATCTTCAGGAAGCTTGCATGTTTCCAAATAATGCAAAAAAAAAAAAAAAAAAATAAATAAATAAATCAGTGCCACTGTGCATCCAGTATTCCTGATAAAGGTAGCATAACAAGTTCAGACAGCAGCTTCCTCACTGATGTCTGCACAGAGCATGTACAAAAATCTGCATGTTTCTTGAAAAAGCCTGATTTGTGCAACTCCAGGATCTATAATTCTTTTTTGTAACATGATATCCATGCAGTGGCTTACTCTACATATTGTGTCAGTTTCTTCCCCCTTTCCTGTCCTAAATACAATTCAGAAGCTCTTCATCGATGCTCTAATTTCTTCTGCCAACTCTGCTTAGTACAGCATTAGTTAAAATGTGCTTAAGGGCAAACTAAGGATGTAACAAAGAGACTGCACAGGAGGAGTAATTGCTTCTTCTCATTTCAACAATTCCTGAAAGCAAGCGGCTTCCTTAGGCTTTGGTTAGTAAACTGGCAGCATACTGTTGCTCCTGGGTGAATCCAGCTTTCTGATGTAGCTTTAAAGCGAAGCCATTCTTGTTGGATGATCAACGGTTATGACATAGGGTGAAATCCCATCTGGTCTCACGTTGCTACTAAGGCAGTTGTCCCTGACATAGTCTGACAAGATAGCTGCATGAGAAGGACGGCGTTAAGCTGTGCTGCACATCGTCCGGCTGAGCAGCACGAGGCCCAGAGCCTGAAGCTCCAGTGCTCACACAAGGAGCCAAGATCAATCAGGAAGTCCTTTTGTGTGACTCAATGTGCTTGTATATTGCTTCCTTTAGATATTTTTAGGGATAGTTTTGCATGTTTTTCAAACATGTATGTTCTAGAATTGGCTGTAAATAAAAAATATTTCTAGGCAATGAAACTGCACAAAAACCACACCTGCAAAAATATTCACAAAAATTAAGGAAATAGCAAAAACTGCAGGTCAAATGTCGGAATGAGATTCCTGGTTCATCTAGTTGATCCCTACTGTTACATTTCCCTATTTTTTGCATTTGTCTTCCCTCCAATCTCCACTCCAGATACATGACCTGTTACTTTACGTTGTTTCCTTTTTTTTATATAGAATATCAGGTGTTACAGTTACTCCTAGAGACAGAAATGGCTGAAATCGACAGAAATTCCAGAAATACGTATTTGACAGATGCTGAAGCACATGTCAAACATAGATCATTAACATTTTAAGGAGTCAGTTACTACAGACCTTCAAACCCAAAGAGCCCTTTGGATAAACCTAAGAGGTTTGTATAAGGTTTAATGGTAGAGAATGGGTATCAACAACAAGCTGCACCCAAGCCATGTTCTCAGGAGTGACGAATCATGTCTTTTTTTTTTATGATGCATCACTGTACATAGTAAATATGCTATATTAAACATGGCTTTAGTGCAGAAGCCTTTGAGTTGTCAATATACCATGAATATGGACAATGCCTGGCACCAAATTCTGTTTCTAAATCTCTTGGCACCATTTCATAAAGACATGGACGGTTGAGTTGGATTTGGAGTCCTAAGTTCGATTGGAGAGAAAACCTTTGGGATGAACAATATCATCTAACATCAGTGTCTGACCTCAGAAATGCTCTTCTGGTCAAAGATCCTATATTCACGCAGAGCCAAGAGCTGTATGAGAGCTCAGTCAGGCTTAGTTATCTGAGTCTGGCCTATTTTTTTAATTTTCATTACCCAAACTGAGCCTGGTCAGGACCTGGTTGAGAGCTGACCAAGTTCTTTGTGACTTTGTGGTAGAATCCAGCATCAGGGGACAGAGTAAGTGACAGAAAGGGTATTAGTACTGTAATTTGGCCAAAATGCATGGCGCCATCACAAATAGCAACAAGTTATAAACTGCATATCACAAAATGAATTCCATGCAATAAAATATAATCCGCTTTTTCATTGTTTTTTTACAGGAGCAAATACACTCACTGGCCACTCTATTAGCTACACCGTGCTAATACTCTCTGAGAGTTTGGTTCATATTGAGATGATAGCATCACACAAATGCTGTAGATTTGTTGGCTGTGCCTCCATGATGCAAATCTTTAACTCCAACAGATCCCAAAGCTGCTCTATTGGATTGAGATCTGGTGATTGTGACCGTTTGAGTTCAGCAAACTTATCGTTTTTCAAGAAGTCTGGGATGATTGGTGCTTTATGACATGACATTATCTTACTGGATTGTATCAGTGTGGTCATAAAGGGATGGATGGTCAGCAGAAATACTGAGGTATTCTGAAGTATTGACACTTTGCTCAATTAGTGCTAAGGGACCAACGTGTGTCAAGGAAAATCCCCCCTCACCATTTCACCACCAGCAGCGTGGACCGTTAATGAAAGGCAGGGTGGATCCATGCTTTCATGCTGTCGACACAAAATTCTGACCCTACGATCCGAATGTCGCAGCAAAAATCGAGACTCATCAGACCAGCCAATATTTTCCAGTCTTCTACTGTCTAATTTGGTGAGCCTGTGCAAATTATAGCCTCAGTTTCCTGTTCTTAGCTGACAGCTACTATTGCTGCTTAGGATGGACGGCTTGTTGAAGTCTATGGATTAAGAACAGACTCTGACTCAAAGTCAGTGAAGGCAGATGAGGACATGTTTTTCACCAAGATAAATGATAAGGGGTGAAAATCGTTCCTCTGGTGATTTCGCTTCAACTTTTTCCTCACTTGATTTTCTTTAACTCTGAAAATGTAAACAATTCTTGACAAGTCACAGAAAAAATCCACTGCATATTTCCTGACAAAAAATCTTAACATTATTTTGGAATCTTAATACAGCCTAAAGTGCACATAAAGCCAAAGTAGTGGGTGAAATAGAACTGAGGTGGCAAAAAGCCCACGGCTATTTTTAGATAATCCCTCTTTTACTCCAAGCTCTGTCAGTATTTGCTTAAAGAGGTCCCTGTTTTCCCCTCAGGGGAGCTGAGCAGCACGGCTCAGATATCTGCAGTGTGTTTAATACATGGCAGGCAACATGTGGGGAAAACGAGGCGAGAGGAGGTAGCAAATGGAGATGGGAAAAAAAAGAGACAAAAATATAAGAAAATGGGTGTGGGAGGTTGGTGGGTTGATGAAAGAAATGAAAAAGGATAGCACTGGAGAAGATGGAGGAGAGGGTTGGGAACATGAGGGAAGAGGAAGAAAATGCCTCGCCACTGATTCATATAAGGCTTGAACATCGGGCAGTGAATCCTCTTCTTCCCCTTTCTTATAAGTGGGCTGTGACACACTCCAGTGCTCTGGGTGCACTTCTCACAGGAGAAAAGGATCAGATTGTAGTATGCTCCTGGCTCTGTCCTGACCGGGGACGTCTGACTACTGTCAGCCTCCATGTGTCAATGTATCACTACTCCTGCACACTCACACACACACACCTGCTTGACCTGGAGCTGCCACGCTGATCCTGCTGTTTACCCAGAGGACATTGTCTGTAGAAGGATACAAGGGGGTAAGGGATTGCTTCATGTAGCCAATTAGGATCGTCAATTACTGAGGTGATGAACATAGATGAATTAGAGCTGGCATGAGGCTCTTTTTTTGGAAGAGGAGCAGGAAGAAGCTGGGGAAAAGCATTGAGAGGGAATGTTATTGAAGCAATCCAACACCGGTGAGGGCGACACTTTGACAAGCTCCATGTGTTGCTATGGTTACGGGTCGCCTGTGTGTCACTCCCTTCCTTGCATTTCCTCATTTTTCTCTGACATATTGGCATTCCAGGGGAGAAAGCAAAGAAGTGAAGGCTTTCTCACATTAATAGGAAAAGAAAAAAAAAAT